TTTTTGCTTCGACGCAATTCAAGTCCAGAGAAATGAGAACCTCAGAAACTGAACCACACCTTTCCTGGGCGACTTACTAGCATAATTACTTCGAAATCCTACAACAAAAGTAACAAAACCAAGTAAGAGCCTGGAAACACTGGAGGGCCGTCATAAATCTCAGGTCCCATGAAACGCAGCAAATTAACATAATTAAAATTTGGTTTTCGACACAGAAAACAAAGCGAAACAAAACGAAAAAACAAAGCACGAAAAACACCAAAAATACTAAACAAATAATATTTTATTTGGACTAAACTAGTGGCGAGAGGGCCGTGTGTCCCGATTCCAGGTGCTAAGTGAGGAAGTAAACGTTGTCAAGGGGAATCAACAGAAAGAAACCCTCAAAAGTGAACGGAAAATCGAAGGCGCCGCCGCCATTGCTGGGAAAATGAAATAAAAAAAAAAAAAGATAACTTTAAGTGTTCAAGTAAAAGAATTAACAGAGAATCAGGATTTTTTGATGCTGGCAGTAAATTTTAGAAATTTACGATACGATAATAAATCAAAACGAAATCTATACCGAGAGAGAGAAACTCGATTCCCGATGCCCTAATTCATTTTTTATTGAGGTGCACTCGGAAAGAAGGAGAATAATCAATAACCAGGCACAGTTGGAAATCAGGACACCCATAAAAAAAGAGAGCCTCGGCTCTCATCTAAATAAAATTTAATGTTTATATGGCGCACACACCTCCAATTTATGCCCAAACCCAAAAGCAAAGAGACAACAAAGAGTCTTGGCCAACAAAAGGCAAGTCCTTTTCCCCCCCAGCTCCTTCGACAGATCTCTCGGCTTGTTTAGTGGATGATAAATTGCTGCCGTGTGTGAGTGCCTGTCGGTATATGGATATGGATCCTACCGTTGATCCTACCACCGGCAATTGTTATGATTTGTTTATGCCTTTTTTGGGAGCAGCTGTACCACGCCCGCTCGGAAAACAGCTCGGGTCCGAAATAAATACAATTCAATCAGGAATTCAGAGAAATATCTATTTGATTTTACACTACACCAAATTCTTAGAGGGTTTTTTACAAAATGTAAGATAAATGTATAGTTCAGTCAGAGATTTATTTTTAGGAAATTAGTTATAATTTCCAAGTATATACTTCAAACTATATAACATTTAACTTTTCTAACCAATTAGTTCAAATATTTACAATAACCTTCAATCTCTGTTATTTTATTTCCTTAAAAATGTATTTCTAAGACCCAAAATCTTTTGTAGTGTAGATGTAATCCCTCAGTAATCGCTTTTCTTCTATTTTCACACCTAACTGTAAGCTATCTGGATCGTCATCGATCAGGAAGTCCCGCATATTGCATTCGGAATTACGTTCACCCCGAAAAGACGTACTAATTGTACGAAACAAAACCCCAAAAATTAATGCAATCTATTGTGAGATTCAACACGATTCCAGTTAGTAACGGCGATTAGGATCTGCCAGTGGCCTCACGCACGGATCGAGGACATTAATGTGTCAACATGTGCGACGATGGGTTCCCGTTTCCCCATTCCCCTGCATACTCCAGAGCCACACAGTAGTACGGGGCATTGACGACTAGTTCCTGGTAGCAGCCGTAGATCCCGATAAAGATCAGGACACGATTCGTGCGAATGTCGCCCAGGGAGCTCAGAGCTGAACGACCACAACAATGCACGCATAATGAGCAAATCTGGTTGAGATATCAACCGGCATATGGGCACCCGTAACATTAAAATCCTCAACTGCAGCTTCAACTCGAAATGGAAAAATAAGCATAAATGGTATCTTTTTCGTTAATGCCTTTTTGCATGCTACATAAATCTTTGACGGAGAAAACTTGGCTTTTATGGCCCTAAGTATGCAAAGTAGGCTCTGGATTCGATGCTCAACTGACCTTCAACCCCTTCTTTTACTCAGCTCCTGCGGTTGACCGCATTATTTTCTCGAAATAGGGTTCGCCGGGTTGCCTGGATAACTTGATTAGACAACGCATTCCGAACATTATTCTTGATTAAGTCACATTAATTATGATAATGATGGCCCCGAAACGAATCTTGGGACAAAGGCGAGACTCTCAGACAATGGCAATTGAAATGGGAACAGGATATTGTCGGGCAGCCATATGAAATGAAAAGTATATAGAGGGAGAAAGGAAGGAAGCCAGGACGTGTGCGCAAATAAAAAATTGAATGTGTACGCGTTTGTGCGGAGCGAAAAAGGTAAAAGTGTGATAAATGTCAATTTCCTGCTCAGCATTTCGGACACGCTGACGCTGACGACTTCATCAGCAACTAGAGATCCTTATGCGGAAGTTATCTAATAACCGGCCGACTCTCGTAATCCTTTTATGGAATTAATCAAGTGTGGCCATGACAAAAAAAAATGTATATATAGAGATGTCCCAGCTGTCCTGGGGGAATGCGCAGATGCGAGAGAATTTTCTTTTATCCCAAGGCTGGCGACAAATCTGTGAACAGGGAGAGAAGTCTCTTAAAAATATTTTATATATAATTTCTAGGCATTTTAATTTCCTTTTTTCTAATATTTAATTAAAGCACACAAAGAGTTATCACTAGGAAAATCGTAAAAAGTCTATGAAAATTGAAAATTCCTCAAATATTCCAATCACATTCCGGGCAAAAGACATTCATAAATTATCCATAAGCCAGTACACTGTATAGACGAATGTCTCAAAGAATACTCAAAAATGTATGGACATCGATACAGTGCAATGCCTTGCATCGAAAACAACCATTTTTATAGTTTATGTGGTGTTTGCCGATGTGATTTCCGTTCGGGAACAACCTCAGGTGGGCTCAGTTCGTCAAATATTTATCGGTAGTATTCGGGTTTTTTCAGATTTCAGATTCAGTTGCAGTCTGCATATTAAAACAAAGGGAAAAGGATGGAGAAAAACAGAGGCAAACGTCTGCAGCTGCTGTGCAAATGATACTCAAGTGACCGCAGAAGGGACACACAGACGACACATGACAAATGGAAAACTCCTCGAAAATCTTGAGCAACTGTCACAGCAAGCTGACTGTTGGCAAAATAACAATTAGAAAACAGTTGCAAAAGCTGATCTGTTTTTGTTTCGATTTTTTGTTTCTGTACATCATTAATCATGCAAAAGAGCAGGCGGCCTCAAGATCCCCTGATCGATTTGAATTTACTCGAAAACGGCTTCACATCGAGTGTCATTAATTATGCCAGGGTACAGAGAGTTTTTCTGGTTCAAGAGGGTACCGCCATTAACGGGTTAGCTAAAATAAATAACATCGGCTGCTGATCGCTGTCGCTTTAAATTCCTAATCAAGAGACATTAATCACGGGTTCAATTGGATTTTGGCATACGTTCAAGGTGACGGACTCGAACAATTGCCGCCTCTGGCTCATACTCATTTTCTTTTTCTCGTTTTCCTCACGTGACATTGGAAATGCAATTTTTTCCGGCCACACCACCACCCCGCCAGCGAACCATTCCATGCCTCAGAAATTCGAATTCAAAGGCATCTACATGCAATTTGCCGCCTTGTTGCTGCGAAACTAGAACACGAATGAGAACTTTTTATAGCCATTATGCTGGCTGGCTTTGTTTGCCCTTAGCCAGCGACAAAAACCAAACGAAAAGGCACTTGACAGTTGCATTTAGCCAAGTTAATAATGCTCTTTATTCAGGGTTGTGTATCTTTGAGCAGGTTGAATGAGGTATGAGGATATTCTGATAGGTTTCTGGGATAAGATATTGCAAGGAATCTCATACAACATAAACCGAATAATAAATATTCTTGTAACTTTACTAGCTCTAAAAAATATATATATTCAAAATTATATATATATTTCATTACTTTTTAAACTGAGTTTATGAATACATTTAAATATATTTCTCTTATTAATATTTAACATATATTTTTAAAGATACAACTTGAGAAACCAAAGTACTTCCCCTCTTGATAGTGTATGAAAATAGCCAAGAACCTAAGGTCAATTTTAATTCCAAGGCATTGAACTTGTTGTTGTATTTGGCGGGGTGGCAGAACAGAACTCTGTGGAGTATTGGGAGACATACATACCTGTCGCCAGGGGGCTTGGGGGCCTAAGGCGACTTCGCCTTGGCTTCGTTTCTTTGATTTTGGGAGCCCAGAGAACTTGCATAAGTATGCAATTAATTCCTCAATGGCTGCATTGTTGTTACGTGCGGAGTTCGGATGCCAAAAAAAATAAAAAAGGCCCACAGAAATCCCATAGTTACACAACGCACAAAATGCGTTAATTAACAGAAATATGCAGCGCCCACTTGCTAAAAACTAAAGAGAAGAAAAATAAGTGCTGTGGCAGAAACCGAAAAAGAACGCCCCCTTGGGGGCACATATAAAATTTTGTTTGCCGAGGACTCGCTGGCAGCTTATGCCCGGGTTATTTATGATTTTTCGCATAAATTTACGCGAACGCTCGTAAAACTGCGTGAAATACGACATTTTGAGTTCTGTGAAAGTGTAACAGACTCTCCGCAGATCTGGCCATGGATCGGATTGGATTGCCAGACAAAGCTCAGCAGCTCACCGTGAACAATGTGGCAACATTTGCGTGATTTGTAGCTTTCAGAGGGCTTAGCCCCGGCAACAATGTTGCTAATAGACCTGGCCAAAGGCCTGACGAGGAATCCCGGCATCTAGGCAGCCTTAAAGGAAGATCCTTTCTCACGGGCTAGGAATTTTACAGGAACAAGTAGCTAAGGTAGCTTGGGAGAATTTAACTTACATGGGAAAAGTAAAATAAAGGAAAGGTTGCTTGTTTTTCATTTCCTTTTAGTTATATTCCCTCTAGCTTTCTTCATAGTTGTATCTCTAAAAATTAGACACTATTAAACTTTCGGTGCTCGCAATACAAATTTATATATATTTAGGGGTTTTACAAATATGGTTTACAGTCGTTCTATTTTCGGGGGTTAATGCATAGTTAAAGTTTGGTCCTCAATCATCCGCCAGATCGCCTACCGTGGTCTGCAGGGGCGGAGCTGTGGTCACTGCGCTGAAGGGCAGTGCATGCTGAGTGGCTGAGGCCCAACTGCGGCGTGGCAGGATTCTGCCAAAGTTAAAGTACTTCTGGCGCAGCTTGTCCTTGATCTCGTCCTCGTTCATGATGGCGCTGGCCTCGCGGAAGTTGAGGAAAATGCGACCCTTCTCGTCGGTCTTAATGGGTAGGATTTCAGTGCAAACATTACGGGCCTTCAGCAGGAATCCCTCCTCCTCCTGTTCCCCAGCTGCCGACGGAGGTCCGCCGGCGAGGTTGATCAACTGATCTTCTGGTAAAACCGCCACACTGTCCAGGCGGGAGTCCATGGACTGGGAGCGCGGAGGCTTGGCCGTGCTGGGATGGTTTTTCTTTTTGCGGAGGCAGAAGGGATCCCGATCGCTGGCCTTGACATACTGAACCACGGGACGATTGACGCCCCACTTGGGGCGATCGTCCATCTTGTTGGCGTCCTTTTCCTTGCCCAGGCTCTTCTTCAGGCTCTTGTCTTTGTCCTTGTCCTTGCTCTTGGCCTTGAATGTGGTAGTCGTGGTCGTGGTGGTCGTTGTTGTGGTCTCGTGGTCCTTTTCAGCAGTGGATTCCTTAGCGGGCTGGGTCTGGCTCTTGGAGGTCTGTGTGGTGGTCGTAGTGGACACCTCTCGCTTGAGCAGGACCTTGTAGAAATTATCGTGGAAAAGGCAGAGGTCGCAGTTTAAGGGCAGCTCTGTCTGGGTCTCCACATCGGCCTGCTGGCCCAGTTCCTGGTTGAGCTCATCTCGCTCAGCCGCGTTGTTTGGGTCGCCCAAATGCAGCGGGGTCTTTAGGGGAATCAAGGCCAGTTTATCCTGTTCGGGTATTGAAACAGGAGCCACATCCACCTCCAGGGAGTCGGGCGAGAAGCAGCCACTGGCGGTCACCAAGTCGGTTCTGCCGGACCTCGCCGTCTCCAGGGGTTCCTCCTCCTCCTCCTTCTCCGCCTGATAGCCGTCCTCTGTGTATATCGAGGTGTCTGTGCGATGGGTCATCGTGGCTTTCGAATAGGAGCAGGCGGTCTGTGGGGGCTTCTGCATGGGCTGCTGCACAAAGTAAGTGGCTATTTGGAGGTTGCCAATGGCGTTTTGCAGCCCAAAAATGTCACTCGTGACGGGCAATGGGATTAGGGTAGCTGGTTGCATCAATAGGGCCATGTTCTCCTTGTCTTCACCGAGAAAAGAGGCCTGTCTGGGTCCCTTCGGCTCCTCCTTCTTGGGTTCCGTGGGCTGTTTGATGGGCTTGGTGATGGTGCGTCGCAGATTGATGGGTGTGCCTATCAGGACCTTCTCCTCGGTGACTACTGGGGGTGGACCTCGAGGGGTGTTGGAGGTCTCCTCTGCCGGGCAAGGTTCTTGCTTTCCCTTGGCCACTGGCTCATCCTCTTCCTCCTCCTCCACGGACTGAACGCGTAGTAGCTCCGATTCCTCGCCCTCAGTGTCCTGGGATATCTTGGACGTCTGCCGGTCCATTCGCTTTTTTTGCTTCTCCATCCTGGCAGCCACCTCAGCCTTTTGGATGGCATCCAGCATAACCTGCTGCTTCTTTTGCTGGGCCTCCTCTCGTTCGAGGAGAGTTCTCCGCTCGAACTCCAATCGCTCCTGCTCCAAGTGCTTCTGCCTGCGCAAACGCTCCTCTTCGATGGCCTCCTCCTGCCGGTGGCGCTCCAGTTCCCACTTACGGATCAATTCCCGCTCATGGAGTTGCTGCTTGATGGCATTGTGATACTCAGCAGCCTTGCGCCGCTTGTCCATCCTCTCGGCCAGCGTGTGGGCATCCAGTGGGGCATTCTGACCCCGTAGATATGTGGAGGAGGATTGCATGGACTGGACATCGTCCTCGCTGTCCTTGGTATCGTGCATGCTGCGATTGAGCCAACTCGGTGCCTGCTGAGATGCCGCATGTCCGCCGTTAAAGTTGGCCCAGCGAGCACGCTCCCTTTCGTGCTGCTCGTGGACATAGAAGTCGCCGTGCTCCGGATTGCCAATGTGCACCTGGTAGGTGTTTGAAGTGGATACATCGCGGCTGAGACTCATGTTCGAGGAGCTGGGAGGAGCAGGCATGTAGCAGTATCTGAGGGGAAAGAGAGTTGTTGAAGATATATTAATATTAAAAGAATATCAATTAAATTTTCTAGTAATTAATATTTAAATAATAAATAAAATTTTCCCTAGATACTCTTCATTTTCTGATTAATATTCAAAATTCATTCAAAATACTCATTCCACTCAACTAAATTCATCCAAAGACTATTAAATTAATATTCCTATTTACCCAGTTTAATTACTCCCCGTTTAATTGCTCTTTTGTTTGTTTTCTGTGTGTGATTGGGTCACTTGGTTACACTCACCCATCGGCCATGTAGCCGTCGGCAGCCAACGGCTCGTAACCCTGCCCTGGCACACGTCGTCCCTTGATGGTGTACGCCTTGCTCAGTGGATTTCCAGGGGGTGGCAGGGGATGGGGAAGGAGGTTGGGAATCGGGCCTGGAATAGGTGCAGCTGCAGTGCCTGCCTGTATCGATCGGCGGAGGCGTCGGCATCCAGCCGCACCCCCACCCACGGGGCCCAAGACTACGCCCGGGACTCCGTCCAGGACACTGGCACTGCCCACCCCACTAATGCTCTCGATTTGGCTGGCGCCGTCGTTGAACCAAATGTCCGGAGTGTGGGGATTCTTGGGTGTATCGCTCAGATAGCCGGAAGTGTCCTCCTCCTGGCAACCGGCAGCCGCCGGGGGATTGTTGTTGTTTAATCGATGCGGCCCCCCGTTGCCGGGATCAATGTCAGTTGACTTTTCTGCTGCTGCTCCTGCTGCTACTCCTGCTGCTCCTGGTTTTTCCTGGTGCCTCACCCTCTGACGAATTGCTGGCAAACTGGGGCTCCGCAGGCGCTGCTGCTGCTGGTGTTGTTGTAGATGTTGCTGTTGCTGCTGCTGTTGCATTAAAAGTTGCTGGTGCAACTGCTGCTGCTGTCCTTGTCGCGAATGCTGCATTCTGCCCTTGGCCGTTTGCAGGGATGTTGGAACCAAGTCCATGTAGCGAGCAGGGTTCTGCATCTGGCGGGAGGTCATACCGGGGGCATAGCTGCCCCTTCTGGTTCGTCGATACATGGACTCGTCCTCGTCCTCGAAATCCGCATCGGCGTCCACGTCCAGGTCCTCGATATACCGCTCCAATTGGTTCATATAGGCCTGGCTGCCCTTCCTGTAGTCCTGCGGGCGGATAATCAATTGCATGTCCTGCTGAGGAGCCCGACGCGAGTGACTGGACGTCTGGTTGGAGGTGGAACTCTGGCTGAGATCCAGATTCGAGTAGTAGGTGCGAATGGAGGTGCGCTCGATCTTGTGGTGCGAGGTGTGCTGGTGATGGTACATCTCATCCATGCGAGCGATTTCCTCTGCAAATTTAATTATTATTTTAATTTATATTTATTTTTATTTGGGTTTTTGTTGACTGCGCAGACACACCTCTCTCCTTGGCCCATTGCTGCTTCTTCAAGTCCAACAACCTGTGCGTTTGCCTGGCCTCCGGTCCCGTAATCATGTCAGTTCATTGCACTGCCACTTCCTAGACCAGAAATACCAAAGGTCGACTGGAGTCCAATCCAATCTGCAAGCTCCAAAGCTCCCAAAACAAAAAAACACCACCGAAGCACCGAAGCACCACTCCAAGGCTGTGCAGGAGCCTCACTGAAATTCCTTCAAACTCGTGGCAGAGCCAGTCGAAATTCGATTTGTTTTGCATTGGAATGCCAGCGGGTTGTCCTGGTAACAAGGGGCTCCATTCAAGGAGTAAACAAAGGGGTTTTTTGCTGTCGTTTCAAGCGGGTATGATGGGTTGAGCCTTAGGTTTATAGAAATAATTTAAAATAATTTTTAATCAGTTATTAAATAAATATAACTTTGGGTTATTTTATGAAGATATTTACGGAAGATTCTAAAATGCTCAAAAAAATATATTTTAAATTTAGTCATTAATTTTGAATAAGAATTAATATCCTAAAAATAACTCTCTTTCAAAGGTTTAAAATATTTAAAAACAAAATCAGGGTATCTACAACTCATTAACTTCCCCAAGTTAACCTTCCTTTTTCGTTTTCGGTGGGGGCAGTCCTTGCACTAGCTTTTGGCAGTGGGTTAATGCAGTCGGGAGAACTTGTTATGTTTTGGGGGGGCGGTGGGTGGGGTTCGCCCAGGAACTGAACTATCATCATCGCGTGCCCGATGCCTGTTCCCAAAAATACACACTCTATTTGCTGTTGCTTGGTTCGAATTAAAGGAACAACCAAGAAAACAAGGAAGCCTCCGCGCCCCGGTGGTGCTACAAAATAGGGCTGTGGATGGGCCTGTGACCTATCGATTTTCCATCAAGACATGGACTGTCTCCACACGCGTAAGTTCAATTACCGCATATATGGGAGCGTGTGTGTGTATATATGGAATTGCGGAAGGAGAAAACGCAACAAGTTATCAAGTGGGATCACAGTCTAGCCCCCGGGCTGGCGTAGGTGTAAAATGCAGAACGAACGTCCTTCGGGGCCCCCTCCCAGATCTCTGCTGCTCCCTCTGCTCTGTCCATTCGATTAGCGGAGGGACCAACCTACCCGAGCTCTGGGAATTTATTTCCCATGGTCAAAATAGAAATGGCCAATACAAAGATAAAGGCTGGGGAAATATCTCATAACCCATTTTCCATAAACATACACACAGAGAGACCACAGAGCCAGATCGACCGCAAAGCTGCCTGCCTTCCTTTCCGATTTTTCTCTGCTTTTCTGCGGCAGTGGTGGTGGTGGTGGTGGCTCGGTGGTGCTGTTGGGTCTGTTTTATACGCGTGGGCGTTGAAATCACTGCCAGTCAAAAGGTCATGTTATGATCTTGAGCGAACTATGTGTCTAAGCATGAGAGCATGGGAGCCGCGGTCCCGAGAGCTGAGCCGAGCGGAGTCACCGTAGTCGAGTCGAGAGCAAGGCCCAGTCTCAAAGACAGACACTAGAGCACTTAAAAAAAATATTTATCAAATATATAATCAAAATTTAAGGACCTAAAATAATATTAATAAAGAATTTACCAAGACACTAAAATATTAAAATAAATATAATACGTATTCAACTACTTTTACAACTAAAATAAATCATCAAGTATATTTATAATTTTCTCCCAGTGTCCAGAAAAGGAGCAGCTAAAGATCAGGCCAAAAGAGAAGTCGGGGGCGACTGAGACCAAGAGCGAGAGGGGGAGTGCCGCAGACAGAGACGGCAATCAAGAAATCCCACTTGATACAAGTGCATTTATAAGACATTATAATGAGTTTTTATAAACTTAAACAGGGTCGCCAGCGAGCAGCCTTAGGGCGTCACTTAACTAGACGAAGCCCCGCTCCCAACTCTTGGCTCTCAGCCTTAGCTCCCTCGCTCTAGATGATCTCTGGACATTGATCATGATGAGGATCCTCAAGATCAGGCCGGGATCATCAAGATCATAATTGCTTATGCAGCTGGGTCAAGAGTTGAAGACCTCGTCGTCCCCCATGTGAGCACATGTCACCACTATTTGGAGATTTCCCTCTTTTTAATAGAGAGAGAGAGAGAGAAGGAGACCCGAAAAGAAAGTGATCATGCCAGGAGTGATGATCGGCTGCGATCATGTCCGCTGCCATTTAGGCAGCAATTTCCATACATCTTCCAGTCCAGGCACAGTCCGGGCATTTTCACTTGGAGCGGTCAGCAATCAATTGAACGATCGCCGGACGATCGGACGATCAGACGATCGGCCAGCTCGATCGCTCTATTCAAGCGGCCGATGTATCATTTAGCGCATAACCCCAATACACCTACCAATAAACAAACAAGCCAAATGCCTAATAATTGTAATTTTCCATATTTTTGTCGAGTCTACGATCGGAGACGAATGCGATGAACTCAAACACGATCGGGCCCCGAAGGCAAAGGAGTCGTTTAAATGGCAGATAGAGAGAGATATATGCACATGTACAGTAGAGGTCAAAATGGTAGTAAGTTGTATTAAAAATTTGCCTAAAATTGTATTTATTGCTTCTTAAAAAATTAAACATTACACGGTTGAAAAATGTTAGTAAAAAGGTATAAGAAATTATTCGTTTTCTCACAAAATTAGTAATTATTTTGGTAGTCCCTTTAATTGATTATAAAATACTTGATCAATATATTTTACATTTTAAATAAATATTTTTAAATTATAACAACACCTAGGATTCCTTCCCCAACTGTCCCTATTTATATAGATGGCGAGGGAGAGCATTAGACCATACATATTGATCAAAATTGATGATGTTGACACGAACTTTGAACGACTCTGATCGCCGTCCGCTTTCAAGGGTTTCTCAAGCGATTTTCATAAGTGATTCGGGCAACTCGTGTAGCAAACGACTTTAGGTTTCATCTCAAGTGAGAGTATCGCTCAATTGATATGTACAAAGGTATTTTTCGGTATGGATTTCGGGCTGCTGGAGCCACTTGAAATGGGTGTTCACAGCCAAGATCGATGGATCGATCCGAGCCGGTTAATGGAGCTAATTTCGTAGACCGGCTCTCGGAAATTGACATTTCGCCAGGCCTGAGACTGGGCCAGTTCGTACTTCATTTTGTAATGCCGGACGAGCCAACAGGTTGGCGGCTGTCTGCCTCGAGAATTTAATTGTGCTCTCGAAACACTACGCCGTAGAATATTTGAGAGACAGGCCAAATAGTTACGAACTGCACTTTCGATCTGCCCAAAAATGGCCACCTGACCAGACGAAGGCCCAGCGTTAGCGTCAGGTGCTGGGATATCTCCTCTAGCCTCAGTCTTAGTTTCAGCTTCAACTTTGACTAGGGTTCCAGCTCCATCCACTCGCTTGTGTGAGCCACGAGTCGCGTTTGAAACTGAAGAAACTGGCGAAAAACAGGGAGTGTGGCCATGATAACTTTGCGATTACCAGAATGAATGTTTTACGATAAAGTTGGGAATATATGTTAAAGCCATAAATAGAAAAGAGTTTTCTAATGTGGGAACTCAATTAGTCAGGCAGAGAATTATCTTGAATGAGATTCCTCGCTTAAGTGTTTTATATATTTATATAACTCAAATCATATTGACTTGTTTGCACCTGATAAATACAATTATTATTAGATTTCTGTTAACATTAGTTGTATATTATGAAGTATATATTTGAGGTATATTTAAATATACTTTCCTTAATTTTATATAAATTTTCTAAAAGAGTATTCTCACCTTCGATCACCAAGCTTCTCCACAGTCTTTCTCTTTCCCCATTGCATTTGCTTGTTGTCCTCGGAGCTGACAACATGTTACACTTTGGTCACTATAATGAGCCGTAATTAGTGACATCGGTGTATCTGCGACTATTGCAACTGACACTGCCGCAACTGCAGCATCCGAGCAATGCGACTGCGTGTGAAAAGTTGCGCGCTTTTTGATAATTGCCACAGAGGCTGCTTCCACGTCTTCTACGTCTGCGTCTGAATCCATGTCTGCCACTGAGTTGCTGGACAAGGAGACGGATGGACACTCGGTTGGCCAAGAGTTGGAGGTGTTGGAGGCAGGCGATGGAGGAGCCGGACGTGTGTGATGACATGGCCATGTGTCAACGTCGTCGTCGTCTACGTTGGCGGCGGTAAATGTCAGTGCGAATGAAAGGAAAACTGATTACACTTGACAAGTTCAAATTGTTTAGGGACAGGCGACATTAAAGACCGAGAGTGAAAGCCTCAGCTGTCGAAGGTTTTTTCTTCATTTTTATTTCGTTTGTGCTTAGAGCTCTCCCGAATTTTGCCAGCTTTTCCTGGCGAAAATCTGACCAGCAATTTCCCACCGCGGCGGCGAAAAAAATCTTAAAATGTCCACTGATTGCCGGAGCTTGTTGTTGTTGGCCACATGCATGGCGGTTAAGGCCCGGCCCGAAGCTGCTGGCCTCAACGCTGGCTAACGGTTAATACAGTCCATCATTATCAGAAATGCGTTTGCCAGCTCCCAGAGCCAGATCTCTGGCTAAGGTCAGTTTAGAGACCGAAAAATTGTTGCCTACAAAGTCCCCCACGAAAGAACAAAAACAACAAAATTACAAAAAATATTCTCACAAGGCGCTGGCTGCACTGAAAGAAACGGATTAAGTCAAAGGGAAGAGTAAATTATAGTACAAATTTCTTATAAACATTATTTTTGTATACTTTCTTACTTCCATAAAGAATATTATTTTCAATCCAATATTTTTCTTAGATTTTTCCAGTGAAAGCTTTGATTTTTCGCCAAGTGCATGTCTGGCTGGCTGGTTCTTGGCCAGGGAAGAGCTTTACTACATGAAACAGGTGTGGCACGTCGCAAAAAATGAAAAAAATAGAAGGAAACTGGGAGGAGAGGTCTGCTGCCTGTGATGCTGCTACTCCGGCTGACTGGACCAAGACTCTTGGCCCACAGAGGGTGCGAGTGTGTGTTGCTTTTGGCCAGGTTAGAGCTCTCTGAGGTTGGCGACGCTTTTACCGCACGTTCGTTATTTTTGAGGTCACA